TTTATCCAATCTATCGAATGTTCTCCGATATGATAAAATTTTAACTTTTCTAAAAGTATGGCATGGTTAATAAGGACAAAAGCCTTACTGAAATCTAAAAACACAGTACCAACTATTTCTCCCTTGTCTAAATATTTTAACCATTCATCAATTAGTTTAGTCAGCGCTGTTTGACATAAATGACCTTGCCTGAAACCTGACTGAGCGATATGTAACAATTTTTTATTATTTAAGAATGCATATAACTGTGTACATACATGTCTCTCAAAAACTTTAGATATGGTATTTAGAATAGAAATTGGACGATAATTGGAGGGAATATCTGTTGGTCCTCCTTTATGTATAGCAGTTACTCTTGCAAGTTTTAATTTTTGCGGAAAACGATTCGACGTTATACTTTTGTTTATTAGAAAAGTTAGTGATGGCGATATTATCTCTGCACTTAGCTTTAAAAGTTTTGGACCACTTCCATCTAAACCTGCGGATTTATTAATATTAAGGTGTTTTAGTTGTGAACACACCTCTCCAACAGAAATGAGTTTTAATTTAAAAATTTCAGTTTCCTTTAATTTTGTACTAGTAAAAGTTTGTAGCTTAGATTAATCCATATCCGAAGTATTATTTCCAATAAGTTTTTCAGCTACGGAAGAAAAATGAACATTTAGTGTATTAACAATATCTTTGGGGTTATAAACAGTTTGATTTTCATACTGCATTTTAGGTGGAAAAATATTATCCATTTTTGGATTTAAATCTTTAATGTGATTCCAAAGTTCTTTACTATTTTTGGAACTAGATATAGCGTTTTGATAATATTCCTTTTTTTGCATTAAATATTAACGACGTTGTTTTATTACGCCACTTTTTAAAGTTTACCCAATCTTTTTTTGAATGATACATATTTCTGTATTGAATGGATCTCTATGAAATTTTACCATAAGGTTCAATACCATAAAAGGAAGGTTGGGATTGGTTTGGGGGTTATGGTACCAACAGTTAAGGAATTAAGGGGCCAAAGCGGGGCCAAAAATAAGCATTTTTGTAACTTCCAGACAATAACTTGTGTGTTAGTGTATGGATCTCTCTGACATTGTACCACAAGGTTCCATATCACAAAGGGAATGCTGGGATTGATTTTGGGGGTAATTGCCTCAAAATTTTAGGAATTAGGGGCCACAAAAGGGGCAAAAAACAAGCATTTTTCTAGTTTCATGACAATAACTTGTGTGTAAGTGTATGGATCTTTCTGAAATTGTACTACAGGGTTCGATATCACAAAGGGAAAGCTGGAATTGAGTTTGGGGTTAATTGCCCAAAACGTTTAGGAATAAGGGACCAAAAAGGGGCTAAAAATAAGCATTTTTCTAGTTTCCAGACAATAACTTGTGTTCAAGTGTATGGATCTCTCTGAAATTGTACTGCAAGGTACCATTCCACAAATGGGAAGGCTGGGATTGATTTTGGGGGTAATTGCCTCAAGATATTAGGAATTAGGGGCCAAAAAGGGGCAAAAAACAAGCCTTTTTTTAGTTTCAGGACAATAACTTGTGTGTAAGTGTATGGATCTTTATGAAATTGTACTACAAGGTTCCATATCACAAAGGGAAAGCTGGGTTTGAGTTTGGGGGTAATTGCCCTAAACGTTTAGGAAGTTGGGGCCAAATAGGGGCCAAAAAACAAGCATTTTTACAGTTTCCAAACAATAACTTGTGTTCAAGTGTATGGATCTCTCTGAAATTGTACTGCAAGGTACCATACCACAAAGGGAAGGCTGGGATTGAGTTTGGGGATGATGAATCATAAGGGGGTTCAAAAAATTTGGGGGGGGGGGGGGGGATTTTATTTTCCTTTTTTTCCTTTTATTTTTTCTTTAAAATTTTCCATTTTAAGTTGGTTATTTTTGTCGAGCCTGCGACTTTTGTCGCAGAAAGCTCGACATAGGGATAGCGATCCGGCGGCGGCGGCGTTAGCTAACTTCTTAAAAGCTTTATATTTTAGAAGGTGGAAGGTCTGGAGGCTTCATACTTTGTATATGGATGCCTCATGTTACGAAGTTTCCGTCAGTCACATGTCCAATGTCCTTGACCTCATTTTCATGGTTCAGTGACTACTTGAAAAAAAAGTTCAGATTTTTTGTAATGTTAGATTCTCTCTTATTATAAGTAATAAGATAACTATATTTGGTATGTGCGTACCTTGCAAGGTCCTCATACCCGTCAGACAGTTTTCACTTGACCTCGACCTCATTTCATGGATCAGTGAACAAGGTTAAGTTTTGGTGGTCAAGTCCATATCTCAGATACTATAAGCAATAGGTCTAGTATATTCGGTGTATGGAAGGACTGTAAGGTGTACATGTCCAACTGGCAGGTGTCATCTGACCTTGACCTCATTTTCATGGTTCAGTGGTTATAGTTAAGTTTTTGTGTTTTGGTCTGTTTTTCTTATACTGTATGCCATAGGTCTACTATATTTGGTGTATGGAATGATTGTAAGGTGTACATGTCTAGCGGGCAGGTGTCATTTGACCTTGACCTCATTTTCATGGTTCAGTGGTCAAAGTTAAGTTTTTGAGTTTTGGTCTTTTTTTCTAATACTAAGTGCAATAGTTCAACTATATTTGGTATGTGCGTACCTTGCAAGGTCCTCATGCCCGTCAGACAGTTTTCACTTGACCTCGACCTCATTTCATGGATCAATGAACAAGGTTAAGTTTTGGTGGTCAAGTCCATATCTCAGATACTATAAGCAATAGGTCTAGTATATTCGGTGTATGGAAGGACTGTAAGGTGTACATGTCCAACTGGCAGGTGTCATCTGACCTTGACCTCATTTTCATGGTTCAGTGGTTATAGTTAAGTTTTTGTGTTTTGGTCTGTTTTTCTTATACTGTATGCCATAGGTCTACTATATTTGGTGTATGGAATGATTGTAAGGTGTACATGTCTAGCGGGCAGGTGTCATCTGACCTTGACCTTATTTTCATGGTTCAGTGGTCAAAGTTAAGTTTTTGAGTTTTGGTCTTTTTTTCTAATACTATGTGCAATAGTTCAACTATATCTGGTATGTGCGTACCTTGCAAGGTCCTCATGCCCGTCAGACAGTTTTCACTTGACCTTGACCTCATTTCATGGATCAATGAACAAGGTTAAGTTTTGGTGGTCAAGTCCATATCTCAGATACTATAAGCAATAGGTCTAGTATATTTGGTGTATGGAAGGACTGTAAGGTGTACATGTCCAACTGGCAGATGTCATCTGACCTTGACCTCATTTTCATGGTTCAGTGGTTATAGTTAAGTTTTTGTGTTTTGGTCTGTTTTTCTTATACTATATGCAATAGTTCAACTATATTTGGTGTATGGAAATATTTTATGATCTATTTGGCAGTCACGCAGGTTTTATTTGACCTTGACCTCATTTTCAAGGTTCATTGCTCAGTGTTAAGTTTTTGTGTTTTGGTCTGTTTTTCTTAAACTATAAGCAATAGGTCAACTCTATTTGTTGTATGGAAGAATTGTTAGCTGTACATGCCTGCCTAGCATGGTTCATCTGACCTTGACCTCATTTTCATGGTTCATTGGTCAATGTTTAGTTTACTTGGTTAATGTTAAGTTTATGTGACAGTTGTAATAAAGCTTTATATTTAGGACTATCAACATAATATCAATGATTAGTAAAGAAGGCGAGACATTTCAGCGTGTGCACTCTTGTTTATTTATATAAAAGCAAATAATAATGATATGGTTTGATTTCATCAAAAATTGAAATATTGGGGTTCTTTGATATGCTGAATTTAACTGTGTATTTAGATTCTTAATTTTTGGTCCTGTTTTCAAATTGGTCTACATTAAGGTCCAAAGGGTCCAAAATTAAACTTAGTTTGATTTTAACAAAAATTGAATTCTTGGGGTTCTTTGATGTGCTGAATCTAACCGTGTCTGTATTTAGATTTTGGATATTGGACCATAATAGGTAAATTAAAAATTATGAAGTTCTTTGACCACATTCATTCTGTGTCAGAAACCTATGCTGTGTCAAATATTTAATCACAATCCAAATTCAGAGCTGTATCAAGCTTGAATGTTGTGTCCATACTTGCCCCAACTGTTCAGGGTTCGACCTCTGCAGTCGTATCAAGCTGCGCCCAGCAGAGCATTTTATTATTTAGGGGTAAGAACAAAAACTTTTCGCCCTAAATCAGAATAATGTCTCCGGATTTAAGGCACATGAATAAGAGATGTTGGGTAAACAACAATGAGGCAGCAACCTACTGACAAAAAGCAAGAAACATATAAAAGTCAGCATACTGTCTTCCACATTACTGGTTGACATGTGTCTTTATGATAGATTAAGCTTTAAACTTACACAGTGTAGAAAAGTAGTTTTGGGAGATCTTGACCCTGCCCTTTTTATCTCAATCAGTGGAAACACAAAAGTTACACAAATTTACAATTGAAAACCACTTAAACTTTACTCAACAATACTGGTATAATCGATAGATACACAAGTATTAGCAAAACAGTAATGAACAAAACTGTGAAAGAATGCTTGCAGTTACTGAAAGCAAGATAAAAGTACTTGTGATGTCTGTTTGAACTGTTACCATATGGACTAGCACATTAAAAATATACCACTGAGTGTCAGTATTGTACAAATCAGGGTTTATATTCATTAATCATTAACCTATTTAACATCTGAATATGCATGTAGTATTTCTGTGGACATAGAATCTTAATCTTAGTTGCAATAACATATTACAAGTGCAAGTAATAATTTTTTTTTAGCATGAAACGGAACCTTCTGAAAATCAGTTTAGTTGTACTAATTACATGATCTTGATGCTCACATGATTTTATACCATCAAGAAAATAACAGAATAAAACAGCTGGTAGAGAACTCAGCTGCATAGTAATTAATGATTTGTAGAACGCCTACTTCCTTCTTCCATAAAATGTTACAGTATTGATTTGTTTTAATCATATTTTTATTGTTCTACAGATACTAGTTGAATTTGATAATCAAGATTGGAAAAGAAGAGAGTGGGTACGAGTTCATGACATTTTCCAAATATTTCTTGTTGAACATACAGTAATTTGGGCAGAGAGAGAGGACCCTGAGGATCTGAAAGAAACAGTGTATTGGCCAGCTTTGGTAAGTGTAATTATATACATGTAGCTCTGTTTCTGTGTCAATCCAAGATTTTTTTATCTAAATATGAAAATAGCCATTTGACTTTGGGGAGTATTTTTTATTCATTTAGGTTTTTTGTCCCAACCCCAATACAATTGTTTATGTGACCAAAACATAGTGTGGGTGATGTCATTGTATGGATGTGCTATCATACTTGCTGTCTAGACATTGGGTAGTTCTTCATTGTCTGTCTTTGTTTGTACCTCCTTTTTGTTGGAAGAGTCAAGTGTTGATGGCTGGTGTGATCAGGAGGAGTCAGGTGTTGATAGATGGTGTGATCAGGAGGAGTCTGGTGTTGATGGCTGGTGTTTAGGGAAGTCAGGTGTTAATGGCTGGTGTGATCAGGAGGAGTCACTGTCAGGTGTTGATGGCTGGTGTGATCAGGAGGAGTCGGATGTTGAGTGCTAGTGTGAGCAGGAGTCGTCAGATGTTGAGGGCTGATGTGATCTGGAGTCAGGTGTTAAGGGATGGTGTGGTCAGGAGTCATCAGGTGTTGATAGCTGGTGTGATCAGAAGTCGTCAGATGTTGAGGGCTGGTGTGGTCAGGAGTCGTCAGGTGTTGATGGCTGGTGTGATCAGGAGTCGTCAGAGTCAGGTGTTGAGGGCTGGTGTGATCAGGAGGAATCAGGTGTTGGAGGCTGGTGTGATCAGGAGGAGTCAGATGTTGATAGCTAGTGTGGTCAGGAGAAGTAAGGTGTTGATGGCTGGTTTGATCAGGAGGAGTCAGATGTTGGTGGGTGTTGTGATCAGTAGGAGTCAGATGTTGAGGGCTGGTGTGATCAGGAGGAGTCAGGTGTTGAGGGATGGTGTGGTTAGGAGTCGTCAGGTGTTGAGGGATGGTGTGATCAGGAGTCGTCAGAGTCAGTTGTTGAGGGCTGGTGTGGTCAGGAGTCGTCAGATGTTGAGAGCTGGTGTGATCAGGAGGAGTCAGGTGTTGATGGCTGGTGTGATCAGAAGGAGTCAGGTGTTGATGGCTGGTGTGATTAGGAGTCGTCAGAGTCAGGTGTTGAGGGCTGGTGTGGTCAGGAGTCATCAGATGTTGAGAGCTGGTGTGATCAGGAGGAGTCAGGTGTTGATGGCTGGTGTGATCAGGAGTTTGATGGCTGGTGTGATCAGAAGGAGTCAGGTGTTGATGGCTGGTGTGATCAGGAGTCGTCAGAGTCAGGTGTTGAGGGCTGGTGTGGTCAGGAGGAGTCGGGTGTTGAGGGCTGGTGTGATCAGGAGGAATCAGGTGTTGGAGGCTGGTGTGATCAGGAGGAGTCAGATGTTGATAGCTAGTGTGGTCAGGAGAAGTAAGGTGTTGATGGCTGGTTTGATCAGGAGGAGTCAGATGTTGGTGGGTGTTGTGATCAGTAGGAGTCAGATGTTGAGGGCTGGTGTGATCAGGAGGAGTCAGGTGTTGAGGGATGGTGTGGTTAGGAGTCGTCAGGTGTTGAGGGATGGTGTGATCAGGAGTCGTCAGAGTCAGTTGTTGAGGGCTGGTGTGGTCAGGAGTCGTCAGATGTTGAGAGCTGGTGTGATCAGGAGGAGTCAGGTGTTGATGGCTGGTGTGATCAGAAGGAGTCAGGTGTTGATGGCTGGTGTGATTAGGAGTCGTCAGAGTCAGGTGTTGAGGGCTGGTGTGGTCAGGAGTCATCAGATGTTGAGAGCTGGTGTGATCAGGAGGAGTCAGGTGTTGATGGCTGGTGTGATCAGGAGTTTGATGGCTGGTGTGATCAGAAGGAGTCAGGTGTTGATGGCTGGTGTGATCAGGAGTCGTCAGAGTCAGGTGTTGAGGGCTGGTGTGGTCAGGAGGAGTCGGGTGTTGAGGGCTGGTGTGATCAGGAGGAATCAGGTGTTGGAGGCTGGTGTGATCAGGAGGAGTCAGATGTTGATAGCTAGTGTGGTCAGGAGAAGTAAGGTGTTGATGGCTGGTTTGATCAGGAGGAGTCAGATGTTGATGGGTGTTGTGATCAGTAGGAGTCAGATGTTGAGGGCTGGTGTGATCAGGAGGAGTCAGGTGTTGAGGGATGGTGTGGTTAGGAGTCGTCAGGTGTTGAGGGATGGTGTGGTCAGGAGTCGTCAGAGTCAGTTGTTGAGGGCTGGTGTGGTCAGGAGTCGTCAGATGTTGAGAGCTGGTGTGATCAGGAGGAGTCAGGTGTTGATGGCTGGTGTGATCAGAAGGAGTCAGGTGTTGATGGCTGGTGTGATTAGGAGTCGTCAGAGTCAGGTGTTGAGGGCTGGTGTGGTCAGGAGTCATCAGATGTTGAGAGCTGGTGTGATCAGGAGGAGTCAGGTGTTGATGGCTGGTGTGATCAGAAGGAGTCAGGTGTTGATGGCTGGTGTGATTAGGAGTCGTCAGAGTCAGGTGTTGAGGGCTGGTGTGGTCAGGAGTCATCAGATGTTGAGAGCTGGTGTGATCAGGAGGAGTCAGGTGTTGATGGCTGGTGTGATCAGGAGTTTGATGGCTGGTGTGATCAGAAGGAGTCAGGTGTTGAGGGCTGGTGTGGTCAGGAGTCGTCAGATGTTGAGAGCTGGTGTGATCAGGAGGAGTCAGGTGTTGATGGCTGGTGTGATCAGAAGGAGTCAGGTGTTGATGGCTGGTGTGATCAGGAGTCGTCAGAGTCAGGTGTTGAGGGCTGGTGTGGTCAGGAGTCATCAGATGTTGAGAGCTGGTGTGATCAGGAGGAGTCAGGTGTTGATGGCTGGTGTGATCAGGAGTTTGATGGCTGGTGTGATCAGAAGGAGTCAGGTGTTGATGGCTGGTGTGATCAGGAGTCGTCAGAGTCAGGTGTTGAGGGCTGGTGTGGTCAGGAGGAGTCGGGTGTTGAGGGCTGGTGTGATCAGGAGGAGTCAGGTGTTGAGGGCTGGTGTGATCAGGAGTCAGGTGTTGATAGCTAGTGTGGTCAGGACAGGAGGATTCAGATGTTGAGGGCTGGTGTGATCAGGAGGAGTCAGGTGTTGATGGCTGGTGTGATCAGGAGGAGTCGGGTGTTGAGGGCTGGTGTGATCAGGAGGAGTCAGGTGTTGAGGGCTGGTGTGATCAGGAGTCAGGTGTTGATAGCTAGTGTGGTCAGGACAGGAGGATTCAGGTGTTGAGGTCTGGTGTGGTCAGGAGGAATCAGGTGTTGATGGCTGGTGTGGTCAGATGTTGATGACTGTTGTGGTCACAGAAGAGTCAGGTGTTGATGGCTTGTTAGGTCAGGAGAAGCCAGGTGTTGATAGCTAGTGTGATCAGGAGGAGTCAAGTGTTGATAGCTGGTGTGGTCAGGAGGAGTCAGGTGTTGGTGGCTTGTTAGGGCAGAAGCCAGGAGAAGTCGGGTGTTGATAGCTGGTGTGTTCTGGAGGAGTCAGGTGTTTGTGGCTTGTTAGGGCAGGAGCCAGGAGAAGTCAGGTGTTGATAGCTGGTGTGGTCAGGAGGAGTCAGGTGTTGGTGGCCTGTTAGGGCAGGAGCCAGGAGAAGTCAGGTGTTGATAGCTAGTGTGGTCAGGAGGAATCAGGTGTTGATGGCTTGTGTGGTCAGAATTGGTCATGTGTTGATGGCTGGTGTGATCAGGTGTTGATGCCTGGTGTGGTCACAGAAGAGTCCAGTGTTGGTGGCTTGTTAGAACAGGAGCCAGGAGAAGTCAGGTGTTGATGGGTGGTGTGGTCAGGAGGAGTCAGGTATTGATGGCTGTTGTGGTCAGAAGGAACCAGGTGTTATTGGCTGCTGTGGTATTATATATTTATATATATATAATGCCCTAACAATGTTAAGAGTAGATTTGATTCTTTACCTCATATATTTTATTCTGAAAAAACCTTTGTTGAACTTGATACAGTGGTATACAGAAACACAGGAATGGTCAAGAAGAGTCAGGTTCTGATGGTTTGTTGGTTAGGCTGTCATGTGTTGATAGGTGGTGTGGTCAAGAGGAATTTTGTGTTGATGGCTGTTTTGGTCAAGATGAGTCAGGTGTGGATGGCTGGTGTGGTCAGGGGAATCAGGTGTTAGTGGGTTGTGTAGTCATTTCCATGAGGACATTTCATATATCTTATAGTTGTACAAATGAAAAGGTGAATGGTAGGGAATCACTGTGGAGGGCTTTTTAAAACAACAACCTCATATTGGTCACTTCAACCTTTGAGTTTGACTGTCATGAATACACATTGATGAATGAAAAAAGACATGGAATAAACAGAAACTCAACAAAGCAGGTTAAACAAACATATATGTACATTTATGATACTGATTTCAGTGCACATGACATGTGGTTATCAAGTAATGTCTTGAAAAGACAAGTTAATGAAATATTAAAAGAGCATCAAACCCTGAATAGTCTAAATAGACCAGACAAAATCACAATATCATGGAAGGTCAACTTTGCCAGAGGGTTTTGCAACCTTAATTTTAGCACAATTGTCTGATTAATGAAAAAATTAGAAACAAAATGTCCAAAATAGTTATGATGTCTCTCATTTGACGAGGGGAGACATCATGTTTAAGTACATATCGTCTTCCTGTTCTTCTTATTTAATCTTGCCAGGCTCAAAACCTTTTTATCCTTTGACTTATGATATTTGGAATGAAGGTTTACTATCAAATGGCAGTGTCACATATCATTATGACCTTAATGTGACCTTGACCTTTGACCTCAGGGTGAAAATAAGGGGACATTTTCATGGCTCTGGAAGCATGATCATGGTTAAGTTCCCCACCGCTAAACCGTATATTTTGATTGCTTTGATTAAACCTTTCTAGTACAGCATAAGTTTTGTCCCTTGGGTACATGCTCGGACCTTCCATATCACTAATTGTAAAATGTCTTGAAAAATACTGATTCCCATTATTTAACCAGATATGTATTCTTATTGGCAGGGCAATACAGTTGAGTACATACCATAATGTGTTTGTTTGGTCCTTTCTTTACTAGAGTGACTTCTATATAAATAAAGTGGAGACATTTGTTTCAGTCCACTTAAACAGTTCCACCTTGTTTTTCTAATTGGGGTCAACTAAAAAATCTAAATTTTCAATGTTATTCAATAATAGCACTATCAAACAGTAAATTATAAGTTGTTATGTATCAACAGTTATTATTATTTGATTGATTGTTCCTTTCTGAAGTTTTTGGAGGAATATAGTCTTAATTAGATCAGACAGGTCTTGTCAACTGATAAAAATATGAGAAATCACTCTGCTAAAGCCTGAGCTGTGGGAAATCCCAATTTATTGATCAACTTGTTTGAAATGACAGTTTGATCTGGAAGATGCAGATAGAATAACATAAAAACATGTTGGATTAAGATTCTCATCAAGTTATATGCTTCAGAATGCTTTTTGTTTTCATTACACATGGTTCCAGAAGCAGACAAGTTGTCAGGGAATAATGAAAGTAAATTAAATTGTTATTGATTTTGCATGCCTAACCTCTAATGGATAGAGATTTTTAAAGTAATATTGATTTTGTGATAGACAACAAGAGGTGAAGAGTTGATTTACATTCCTGGGCTCTCATTGGTAATTTGTCTGTGTAAAGAAATGTCACTTCCAATTGATTGATGACATGACTGACCTATTTTATTACCTTTACCAGGGAGAATTTCAAAATAAATCATAAGGTTTCTGTGATGTTAGTTTTTCTGTTTTGTTTGTTAAGGCTTATTTATGGTGTATGGAAATTGATTAAAAACACATTGAATAAGTGATTTCTTTGTTAAAAATTGTGTTTACAACTTGAACTATGATGTGTGAAGAGTTGTGGGCCTTTAACCATAAAAAAGAGTTGGGTAAATATTTTTTTTTTTGAAAGGAAAGAGTAAATAATTATCCGGCAGATTGAAACTGTAAAGTTTATGGTTAAAGGGAGGATTCCAATTTTAGAGAGTAGAATTTTTATGCAAGGTTGAAAATTAAATATTTCTTTTCATATGAATTCTAGGATATGTACATTAACAATGAAGTGAAGAAACAATGTTGATCTATCCCATACAGGTTACAAGAGTGCAATTATTCGTAATGCATTTTCCATAGGGTACCAGTGGTGTTCCGTATTTTTTTTCTCGAAGACTACAACAACTAGGGAAAAATGGGTAGCAGTTCCTGTTACTAGAAATGCCAGTGTTGCATTACAACCAAAAAAATATACATGGTCATGCGGCAAAAATTGACTTAAAATGCAGTTGAAAAAGATCGTCTATTTTTTTTCGCTTAATGAAGAAGGCATATTTTAAATGGCCCCTACGTGCAGAAATGAAAGATATTTTATATACTTTGCAAAATGTGAATTTGATTTTATGGAATTTTTAAACCTAATTGGATAAGCTTTCGATTAAAAGTAATTCCAATTCTGTATCATCCAATCAGAAGCCGTACAGGATTCTATTCCGAGTACCATCTTGGGGTAAAAAACTTTCCGGTAAAATGTAAACAAATAATTGCGCTCTTGTAACCTACATGTTTCAGTAAAGAAACATATATATAAATATATATATAGGAGTTTTGTCCCATGTTTTCTGTTAGTTTAATTGGTGTAGCAACTGGTACTGTCACTACCAAAATGGCAAGTGAACAATGCTACAGCTAACATATATAGTACACTTATGTTTTTGCTATTAGTTTACAACTGAAAGGTATAAACTATTTTTGAAGGAGCCCATAATTCAGCGGTTGTCATTGGTTCATGTCTCTCTTTTTTTTTTGTAAATTGCATTGTTATGAATTACGCTGGTAGTTTTATTGTTTGAATGAAGTTTCACATTTTTCCTGTCAGGGCCTTTTATAGCTGACTATACGGTAAAGGTTTTCTCATTGTTGAAGGTTGTATTGTGACCTATAATTGCTTATATCTTCCTCATTTGAACTCTGATATATAGTTGTCTCATTTGCAATCATACCACATCTCTTTATTTTTATAATGCTTGTTATAACTACAAGATATAGTAAACTCGTGTTATAACTATGAGGTATAGCAACTCACAATATAGTTTAAAGGTATAGCAATGCATTACATGGTACAGCAACTCATGCTATAATTACAAGGTACAGTAACTCATGCTATAATTACCAGGTACAGTAACTCATGCTATAATTACCAGGTACTGTAACTCATGCTATAATTACCAGGTACAGTAACTCATGCTATAATTACCAGGTACAGCAACTCATGCTATAATTACCAGGTACAGTAACTCATGCTATAATTACCAGGTACAGCAACTCATGCTATAATTACCAGGTACAGTAAATCATGCTATAATTACCAGGTACAGTAACTCGTGCTATAATTACCAGGTACAGTAACTTATGCTATAATTACAAGGTATAGCAACATGTGCTGTGGTGAGCGGAAGTTACACTTCTTGTTGTAAGGTGAGGTATCTCTTTTTTAATGGCTAGATAAAGAAATGCATGTCTTAGCTACAAGGTAGCTGTTCTTGATGTGGCTACAACGTATCATAACATACTTCATAGATACAGGGTATAGAAATGAAGCTACTAATGTTGTGATAAGAGAATTTAACTATGCTGAACATTAGTTGTAACATCTCCTTCTGTAATATGAAGCTGAAGCAGCTAATCCTGTAGTTTTGACAAGGGCTATAAGAGCAGGTTTTGTTGCAAAGTAGTCATACCTCATGTGCTGTTTACCTTCAGATAGAACTCATGTTGTAATTATGTGTAACAATTTATGTTGTTTTGTCTACTGGGTGTAGCAATTTATGCTGTTTTGTCTACTGGGTGTAGCAATTTATGTTGTTTTGTCTACTGGGTGTAGCAGTTTATGTTGTCTACTGAATGTAGCAATTATTGCTGTCTACTGGGTGTATCAGTTTATTCTGTCCACTGGGTGTATAAATTATTGCTGCCTACTGGGTGAAGCAATTAGTGATGTCTACTGTGTGTATCAATTGACAATGTATTCTGTTTACTGTCAGATTGGATCAATTTATGCTGTTTACTGAGTGTATCAATTTATGCTGTTTACTGAGAGTAACAACTTATTCTGTTTATTGTTGCAATTCATGCTGTCTATTATTATGCAAAGGGAAGCAACTAATTTTTTCTTGCCAAGAAATAATTTAACCTCTTATTCTTCCATTGCAAGCTTTAGCTACTCATTCTGTGTTTACTAGGTGTAGCCACTCTGTTTTTGTCTACCACCTGTGCAATTCATACTGTTTACATGGTGAAGGAACACATAATGTGGAGATCAGACATCATGTTTCAGTATTAGCTACTCAGGCTGTCTATCAGTTGTATCAACTAATGAGATCTATTTATGTATCTGAGCAATGAGCCTTTATTATATGTTCAACAAAAATGACCTATCTCTATGTAAATGCTGAATAAATTGTATAGACATGATTGATATCTGCATTCTTGGTTTGGTAAGTGTGGTTGGGATTTCTCACTTTCCTATTGTAGATTTTGCCAGGTTCGTTGATTGTATAATCTGTTTAGAAATAGAAATGGAAACAATTTGACATGATCTGTGATGTTCCTAAGCAACAGTTTGAAATCAATATTTACTTTCGTGCCCAATACACAGCTGTATTTGATTACATTCATTCAAGGTCAAATAAACAGATAATAGTATGGACTGTGTAGATAATTTGTTCCTCAAGACATTTCCCATGTATTCATGAAAAGTACTATGTTTTTGAAGGACATTTTTTGAATTTTATGAGCTTTTTGTCATATTCATGAAATGTGAAAAACAATATTTTTCATCTACATTTAACACTTTTAAAAAACTTAAATTTGTACGGTTGAGATAAATTGGTTTAACCTCTTAGGATAGAGTTATTTCCCTTTCATTTTTATTTTTTTTATTTCCATGAGCTTAAGATTGAAAAATAGTTTTATTTTACAGAATTTCCGTTGCATTGTGGACAGATCTGGTTGTGCTACAAGTAAAAGAAAACCAGTTGAGTTTTTAGTTGACAAGCAGATTGCATTTGTTGATGAAAAGATTATAAAAAGTTTTCAGGTTAGTATATTGAAATAGTAAAGATTCATAGATATTTACAAATGTAGTAAATCATTGGTATTTTTTGTTAGTGCCTTGTTATTGTCTCCTCATAAAGTTATGGGTTTTATCAACAGTCTTGACTTAAATAATTTTTTTATTGAAAAAACAGATCCTAGCCTTCCTTGCTTAACTTCTGAAATATTTTAAACATTTGAGCCAGTTGGCACATGCAAGGTTTTTGATTGTATATGAAATGTTAAAAAAAACAAAACAACAAAAACAAAACAAAAAACAAATGAAAGCATTGATTGTTATACGACCGCAAAAATTAAAAATTTTTTGGTCGTATATTGGTATCACGTTGTCGTCCGGCGTCGTCGTCGTCAGCGTCGTCCGAAGACAGATGGTTTCCGGATAATAACTTTAGTATAAGTAAATAGAAATCAATAAAATTTTAACACAAGGTTTATAACCACTAAAGGAAGGTTGGGATTGATTTTGGGGGTTATGGTCCCAACTGTTTAGGAATAAGGGGCCAAAAAAGGGGCCCAAATAAGCATTTTTGTAGTTTCCAGACAATAACTTGTGTTAAAGTGTATGAATCTCTCTGAAATTATACCACAAACTTCCATACAACAAAGGGATTGTTAGGATTGACTTTGGGGGGTTATGGCTCAAACCATTTAGTAATTAGGGGCAAAAAAAGGAGAAAAAGAAGGGTTTTTCTGGTTAATGGACAATTGAGACAATTTAAAAGCAGTGTAAGGGAGGTAATCCAATTCAAATTAAAGAACACTGTTTGATTACCTCCCTTACACTGCTTGTAAATTATGTATTAAGAAATGATGATTGTCTTGAGGTGATTAGCTGTCAATTTATTTTTAGCAGTTACTATTAATTAATATTAATTTTAGCCATGACTATGTATGTCATTTTATATTTAAAAACTTTTATGATGTATTTAAATGGGTAATTTTGTTTGCAAACTGCATTAGAAATTTGAATTGCGATACTGACCATATCTTGAGGGAAAGATTTTTTTAGGGAATAAGGGAAAGGGGGGAGGTGAAAAAAATTGGAAGGGGGGGGGGACAATTTTTCTCATTTCAGATTTCAGAAATTAAAAGAAAATTTCTTCAAATATTTTTTTTGGGGGGTTAATATTCAACAGCATAGTGTATTGCACAAAAGCAAAAAACAGGGGTAAAATACATTTTTTTTTGGGGGAGGGGGGTCAATTCGCAACAGTATAGTGTATTGCAAAAAAGCAATAAATTGAATATAAATTCAAATCATATAACCAATTTGAAGTTCTTTGACTGCAGTTTTTCTGTGTCAGAAACCTATTATGTGTCAAAAATTTAGTTACAATCCAAATTCAGACCTGTATCAAGCGTGAATATTGTGTCCATTTTGGCCCAACTTTTCCGGGTTGGACATCTGCGGTCGTATCCAGCTGCGCTCAGCAAAGCAATTTATTAATTCTATTACAAAAAGTAGCCATTTTTAATGATAATGATATGGGCATTATGAAATACTGAATAAATCATGGCTTGATATAAATTTTGTAGCAAAATCATTCTTACAAATTTGATTCAAAGTCTTTTTAATATGTGTTTTCTCTTCAAAAGTAATGGAAAGATATGGTTTTACAGTTTAAAGTACTAGTTCTTATTGGTCATAAATTGAACCCCTTTTTGTGAAGTTTTCATTGAAATATTTTATGTTGCTGGATGGTAAACTGTAGCATTGAAATGTTTCCAAAAAAAAATAATCCCATAATGAAAAGAATAATTTTGGACTGATTTCCAAATCTAATTCACCCTAGCGTTAAACATAGACAATATGAAATGTGGCGTCATATTTTTATGCCCACATACAATAGTTTGCTTCCATCCGTCTGGTATCTTACAGTTTTGTAGGTTAAAGCTTTGGTTAAAGGTATTTACCATGAAGATGTGGTCACATCAACTTGAAAGTTAGTGGATATGTTTTTTATGATGTGAACTTTTCAAAAAATTTGCCAAATTAAGGCTTTGATCCAAATTTCACAATTTAGTAAACATTGAAAAGTGGGAGTATATCCTATGGACACATGTTCTAGTTTCTTTCATGGTTAACATTAGGTAACTGGGCAACTTTACATATGAAAGGATTTACCATATAGATTTCCAAATCTTAAATTTTAATCAATAAATTAAAGGGTAAAATTTTGTGAAGTCATCACTGAAAATCTTTTTAAATTTTGGTACATTAATATTTGTAGTAGACATACATGTATGTTGTGAGAAGTTCCCTCCATGACCTACCTGGCTGGTTACAGGTATAAGATAGTTATATTTATAGAGTTGTTTGTTAAGTTCCTTTAAATCAAGATTATACATTTGAATACTCCCTTCATATGTCAATATTTGAGTTTAACTTGAACATTATTTGTGCTTGAGAAATTTTCTTTGTTTGGTTATAAAACCTGTCCAATATTAATTCTACCTTGAACATAATCTAACTTTAGTAAATACTGCCTTTTAATACATTATTAGCAAAGGTTGTGAATATTTTAAATGGGTGTTTAAATATAGAATTTTGAAAACACTAATGCTTTTGAAACATAATGAATGGGTATTGTTTAGAGACTGACATTTGATGGAGCTGTAATTCTGATAAAGAAATATTTCCACAATGTATATGAATTGCTACTTTGAATACATTTTTTAAATGTCCCGTCTGAAAGTTATTTACATTGACATGCTACAAAGTAGATAATATGCATTACCAGCTCATGCACGCTTTCACAGGCCTCTGGTCAACATTTGTCCTACATGTATATATCATATGATATTTTGTCCTAAATATCATATGATATTTTCAGTTTTTATAAATAAAAGATGTTGGGATAAACAACTTTAAATTATTGTATTTATTTTTAAGAACCGAGTCCATCCCCCTTTTCACTAAGTCAGTGTGTGTATGATTGAATGTCTACCTAACTTTACTCAGACAACCTATGGAAACATTATCACAGGTTGTGGGATGATAGTAAAAGCATTAATGACTAAAAATCTAATAACTTAAGTCAGCTGGAAGATTTTTAATTCCATCTAATGTATATATGGGAGCAAGTGCAATGAAATCAATTCTTTAATGTTGCTGAACATTACAAAAAAAATTGTTTGAAGTGCATCCAAAATGATAACAGACATTATTGGTGTAATGGGAATAGTATTTTAATCAGCTTTCCCATGTTTCTGGATAATTTGCTAAAGGCTGTTATAATTATAGTCACACATGACTGACTTCCTGTTATATACTTAAAAAAAGTAAACTTAATTAATGTTTAGCTAGTGATGATATGAATAATGTATGACTGTGACAAGGTCATCTTTATAGTCATCTTAAATCAAATGTTCATGTGGAAGATTGCCAACAATCTCTACCATAAATTGATTTTTGTTTGAGCTGTCTGTGCCTGTAAAATAGATTGACAAAGAATTGATATAGATTTACTATTCATGGTTCAACTTACATTTCTTAATAGTTTTATCTAAATAAAAAACAACACATTCATTCTGACAACTGTTACTTTTATTTTATAGTTAGGTGACATATTGCAGTCCTATTAATCTGCTTCTTATTTAGCCCATGTACTTATATATGAATTATTTACAATAAAATTTGCAATGTTGGATTTGTCAGATTATATATATATGTAATCGGCCTACATTTAATTGTTATCAGAATAGCCTTCATTTGGCTCAAAACATGTAAACAGTACCTCTTAATTTGTTTGTTGCTTGTATTTATTCTTAATATTCAAATTTTCATGTATTAAAAACCATGACTTTTATAAAAACACACAAGTTGGAGTTTCTAAAATAAGTTGATATTTAAATGATTAGGTCACCAGCATTAGCTTTCTTAATTTAGAAAAATCGTTAGTTCAGAACAAGATGAAAAATTCATCAGTTTGATAAACCTTAAAACACTGCAATTTGTTTTATAGATCCTAGAGACAGGAATTGCTGCTCTTTAGTTCTATTTTGGCTTGCCTTTGAAATAAAATTATAAAAGACATTGTAAGGGGAAGAAGAATTATTATGTAATTCTGTCAAATCAGTATTGATCTAGACTTAACTTAAATGTCAAGCAAACATCTCACTCATAAATCAATACTTTTTAGACCTTAACAATGCTATGAATTTTCTTTGACAAATAAAACTTTTTTTTTTCCTGTTGAAGATTTATGAAGACCATAAATTTATGTTTTTAACTCAGTTTAAATATCCATATTGTTATTGCCATTGGAATCTATTTATACAAATGTGATAAAGAAGGTACATCTTCTAAGTTTTAATGTAAATTAGAAATCACAATGTTTTACTTAGTATCATTTATCATTCTTACTGTCCGTGTTTGTCTGCTTGTTTCTTCAACCTGTCAGACAAGATTTAAAATAAAAAGAATATTTATGTCTACAAAACATGCATAAAATCTGCCTTTAACATGTAATAAACTAATACTGTAGGATGGTTCTGACAAGTTTGTTAAGTTGGTTAAAGATTGGTTTGACATGGACATTTATGCTCAACTTAGTTCTCAGGTTCCTCTATACTGTCCTTATTGACACATGGTCAGTCTCAGCTTTGTCCTTCAATCTAAAGAAATGTAATCACAGCAATGATATCCTAATTTAAATAATAAAATTAAAGGTAAAGCCAAGATAGCTGCCATTATTTCAACATTTAAACAGGTATTTAAGACACTTATCTGTAAAAAGGCTGACTGAAAATCGCTTGGTTCAGGTCTGTTAAATGCATAGTCTATAATGAAACAAACAGGGCAAAACAATTTGTAGAAGATGATTTTCGGGTTGCAATTATCAACAAGCATTACTCTCTTCAAGATAACTACATGTACATATTTTACAATAATTTGAACCAATTATTTTTTCTCATATGAAGACGGGACCTAAAAGTTCACATTCATACAGAAATGAAATACTGCATTATATTAGATGTCTTTCTTTAAAAGTATTAAATTCAACATCCAAGCTGTTACATAACACTTTGTCATTGTTTTCCTACAAAACAAATTCAGAAGACTGTAGAAACAGAATAATTAGTCAATCTTTATGCTTTGGTTATCTGATACCCCTAAAGTGCAGTCTTTGTCTATAATCACTGAATCACTGTTAAGTACTTTGAGATGTTCCATCAGCTGATTATTAAGTGTTTACACAAAGAAACTATTGGTATTCTTAAGTAGGTCATCTGAAGGGCATTACATAGACCACCTGCAAATTGATTTATCAGTCAGGGGTCATTTCACCAATGATTTGCTACAGAAACACAATTAAGGACTCATAAATAATTCTTTCCACTAGGGGATAATTGATAGTCATTTTTTTCTACTGCACTTCAGGAAGGAGAGCAGCTGCAGCATCCTACTGTAGAGAGGTTCCCACAGGTTGGACAAGCTGTCAAGAATTGGTTTGATTACCAGGATGGTCAGAAGATTCTACTGACCACACCTACCGTGTTAGTGGGCTATAGAGTAGAAGTTTACAGAGCAGAGGGCACTACACAGTGGTACACAGCTGTCATTCAATCATATAATCATTCTACAAAGGTGAGTCTGACATTAGGTGTTGTGTAAGCGCAGTGGGTTAAAATGGTACAAAACTGAGGTAAATAGCTGTCATCATCTTAGCCAAATATTATACAAAGGTGAGTAAAACACCAATGTTAGAATAGAGGGCTAATCACAACTGGGAGCAATATAGAGTACCGTAATTAGCCTTGTAAAGTCTGCACTGGTACATTATCCGCACCAACCTTTTTGCCACGAGAATTCAGGAAAATAAACTTTGCAACTGCTTGAAAACATCTAATGATACTCTGGTAATTTCAAATCGTGTGTGATCGTTTGCAGTATTTTCAATACATATGAATAAATATATCCATAACATTAATGTTTGAATGATCTTCGGCTAAAAAAAAGTATGCGTCAGTATGAAAAACCAACATGGAAGGAATAACCCATTACGTTTTGTAGTTTATACATTGTAATGCATAAGCTGGTTCCCGACTGATTCATATACTTTTTTCATGCCTGTAAATACAAGTGGATTCCAGTTTATGTTATGCAATGCAATGAAAAGAAACGAGTAATTTGTAATGAAGCATTTAATTTTGATAAAGTTATAAGTTAATATTGGATTTTGAATTAAAATTGCATATTAATATGGATACGGTAAATTATTAGTCTTGAAAATTATAAGGGCACCCTCTACATTTTCAATAACAAATATGGCACAACGTAAATAAACTTCACAAAATCAAGTTTTTTTTTCTTATTTCTTGCTTATCGTACTCTATAATCCACACCCCTGCCTGGCAATATTAATTTTGGAGAAAAAAACATGGACTGTTATCTACTCTTTGGCTGGGTTGTTGTCTCTTTGACATATTCCCCATTTCCATTCTCAATTTTATACTATACAAGCCTCAATATGGTACAATCATGTGGTTATTTGTTTAGAAAGGAGAGATGTACACATGAGTGTTTTTATGAGTAAGCAGAAGTCTGTCACCCAACATGTTGTAAATATCTGTCACACAAATTGAATTGATTCTTAGTTGATTCAGGACAAGGACCAGTTTACAATGTATATCAAAACTTACATATTGAACCAGGAGAAGAGGTGTTCAGTTTGTTGCTAATATTGGACAACAAAGGCTTATTGACTACGGTCAAAAACGTTAACCTTATAGCAGTCTTGTATACTTCATTCAAGGAGGTTCTTCAATAACTACCAACATGCACTATCTTACTTAACATTCCCATCCTGACCAGTTGTGATCGAAGAATATATATTAGAATACTTAGCAGACAGAAGCTGGTTGAATAGACATATTGTATAGACACCTGTATATTTTTGAATACTCCCTAGATGTTTTTTGGATAATTGTGTCATGGGTTGCTGAGTCATTAATGTAAACCCGATATATCTTTTTATTTTGCAAAGAGTAAAAGAATGTTAAGCTGGGTGAGAATATCTTGAGACGTTATGGAAAGGAGGAGACTCTTGACAAATTAGGTGTTGTAAAGGAGCAACATTGAGATACTTAGTTCATGTCTTAATATACTTGTGAAGTTACAACAGTTTCCATTATGTTTTTATAATCTAATTGTATCTGATAAACTTGGTGTATTATTGTCTCAGTACATTTATGATTCAAGAACAATGTACTGTGTTATCTTTCATCAAATTATCTGGCTAACAGGTAATGAGGTACATATATATGCAATATCATGAAGATTTCACTCCTCAAAGTTCCCTTTTGATAAACAACAAAATATAGTAATAAAAAATTATCCTGCAGGTATTTTAAGAAGTTAGTGTTATTATAAACAGAGAGTATCATGTTTTAAGTACCGTATGTTGAACATGGTATGTTTGTGTACATAGATATTGCTTGTCAGGGCAATCCAGGGTTGATTGGATGTAATAGCAAAAATAGTGCTGAGCATAGTGAGGGGATTTTTTTTTTACAAGATGATGCCAACAAATGACATTTTTCCAATCAAAAGAGGGGAGTGTATGTCTTCTATGCCCCCACCTAAATCCCTTTCTGCTTGTTACATCTATAAAATGTTATAGAACTTGTCATAGAAATGAGAATGTGTATCTGATTTTGTCATTGTTACAAGTTGAATATTAGCTGATAATTATTAAAGGGAAATTTATTATTGTCTAAGTGTAATAATCTGAAATTCAATATTTGCACTTTTGATATATAAGTTGAATAGCTTGAAGTAATGTTAATAAGAGTACTTTATCAATTATTTAAAGAGAAAAATATCTTTTCATGATGTGAAGAGTGCATTATATCATCATAATGTTAGGTATAATGACATGTAAGAGTGCAAATAATTATTTCATTCATGGTAATATAGAGAATCTCCAAGGAAACATTCATTGGTCCTTGGTATATCTTATGTAAGAGTAAGACATTCTGAGTTTATTGATTTGACTTTCTCAGAACTTCACCAGATTCCCAGTCAAGTTAAAATACAGTTATGTTTTAAAGATCATTGTTTTCTGCACATAAAGTGTGACACAATAGCCTACGACAAAAAATCAACAACAGGGAAGCCAGACACAAATCAGTATTATGATGTTTACTATATCTGTACTTAACTTTACAAATAATATATTTATACATTTTGATAATTGGTGTAATTCACTCACATGTAGAAGATGTCTCAGCACTTCTGAAAATCAGCTAAATAACAATGGTGGCTGAAAACAAAAATATTGTTTAAGGTCACCTTGCCTTTTAATTATATAGGAACAATTGTCCTTGGAATATTTGGAGAATATTCAGTCTAAAACATGTCATGGACCTTTGTTTATTTTTTTACATGTATGAAAGGCCTAGAAGTCCTTGACCTTATAGACTACAAATATATTAGAACTTGTTTGTGTTTGAGTACCCTTTAGCACATGTGGTTGAGGCAATATACCATATTTATGTAGTCAAGGCATACTGTATTTATGTGGTCGAGGCAATATACCATATTTATGTGGTCGAGGCAATATACCATATTTATGTGGTCGAGGCATACCATATTTATGTGGTCGAGGCAATACACCATACTTATGTGGTTGAGGCAATATACTTTATTTATGTGGTCGAAGCAATATACCATATATTGTGGTCGAGGCATACCATATTTATGTAGTCGAGGCAATATACCATATTTATGAGGTCGAGGCAATATACCATATTTTTGTGGTCGAGGCAATATACCATATTTATGAGGTCGAGGCAATATACCATATTTATGAGGTCGAGGCAATATACCATATTTTTGTGGTCGAGGCAATATACCATATTTATGAGGTCGAGGCAATATACCATATTTATGTAGTCGGGGCAATATACAATATTTATGAGGTCGAGGCAATATACCATATTTTTGTGGTCGAGGAAATATACCATATTTATGTGGTAGAGGCAATATACCATATTTATGAGGTCGAGGCAATATACCATATTTATGAGGTCGAGGCAATATACCATATTTATGTGGTCAAGTAAATATACCATATTAATGTGGTCAAGTCAATATACCATATTTATGTGGTCGAGGCATACCATATTTATGTGGTCGAGGCAATATACCATATTTATGTGGTCGAGGCAATATACCATATTTATGTGGTCTAGGCAATATACCATATTTATGTGGTCGAGGCATACCATATTATGTGGTCAAGCCTATATACCGTATTTATGTGGTCGAGGCAATATACCATATTTATGTGGTCAAGGCAATATACCATATTTATGTGGTCAAGGCATACCATATTTATGTGGTCGAGGCAATATACCATATTTATGTGGTCGAGCCATACCATATTTATGTGGTTGAGGTAATATACCACATTTATGTGGTTGAGGCAATATACCATATTTATGTGGTTGAGGCAATATACCATATTTATGTGGTCGAGGCAATATACAATATATTTTTGTGGTCGAGAAGTATACCATATTTATGTGGTCGAGGCATACCATATATATGTGGTCGAGGCAATATACCATATTTATGTGGTCAAGGCAATATACCATATTTATGTGGTCTAGGCAATATACCATATTTATGTGGTGGAGGCAATATACCATCTTTATGGGGTGGAGGCAATATACCATATTTATGTGGCGGAGGCAATATACCATATTATTTATGTGGTGGAGGCAATATACCATATTTATGTGGCGGAGGCAATATACCATATTTATGTGGCGGAGGCAATATACCATATTATTTATGTGGTGGAGGCAATATACCATATTTATGTGGCGGAGGCAATATACCATATTTATGTGGCGGAGGCAATATACCATAGTTATGTGGTCGAGGCAATATACCATATTTATGTGGTGGAGGCATCATACCATATATATCCTGGTATAAGAATAAAGTCAAAGTTAAAGATTTTATTGATATAAAATGCAAAATCTTGATTGTCATCAACACACAAACAAAGAACAAACATTAATCATTAGTGATTACAATCAATTATATATTCATAAAATGGTAGTATATATGTTTTATATATCAATACAAAACATAAAAAGGAATATAAAAAGATTTAGAATTTTGATTTATTATTACCCCCCATCCCCCCAATTCTATCAATTTGACTGAGAAGGTACAGTTTTACATACTAGTATGTTAATGTTTTATAGTACAGACCTAGCTGGGGAGATGTACCATATTTATCCTGGTATAATCCAATGTGAACATGTTTTTTTCCTGAAAAGAGGACATAAAACCGTCTTGGAAAACCAGGTTTCACGGTCAACTGATTAAATTAGACTTGTATGGATTGTGGAATACTACTGTTAGATTACAGGTTTTGTTCTGCTAAAAAGTTGAATCATGTTATTTGAACAGTTAATGCTTCATAATTTAAGGAGCATAAATACAGTATCTTGAACTGGTGCTTTTTAAAGAATTATTTTAAAGAAAAATTAGAAAAACTAACTCAGCCATTCAAATAAGATGTCACCTTTTAACTGCCAGAAACAGATCAGATTACAATTATCCAACCTTACACAAGTCTCTGTGTACCTGTTTTATCAACTATTGGCCAAGGTTTACCTGTCATTACAACTTGCTTTTCCATAAAAGGACATTTGACAAATTATTACTTAGAATTTACATTAATTTTGCCTAAAACCCCCCAAGGACAACTTCAGTTTATATATTAGCCTTCTTGTCATTACCATTAAAACCCTTTAAATATCTTCTAACATTACATGAAGATAGATTTGAACGAATTTCTATAAGCCGGTATAACCTTGTTTGTTCAGTACAAATATTCCATGATATGTTTGTACTACAATATATAAAAGATTATTTGTTAGCGTTCATATTAAATCCAAATAAAAAGAATCTACCTGAGCCTATTGATGAATAAAATCCATTAGATTTTTACAAAGAGAAGGCAAATTTAACTAATGCATGAATTGTGCCATAGAATTTTGTTAGTTTTAGTTGACTTCAAATTTTTTATTGTGGAGGAATTAACAGTTCACGGATCTCTGATCTAGACAGGGAAGATCAATAATAATTTTCCAAACTTCTAGATGGCAAGGCTAGATATTTATTGTTTATCTCAAGATGTACCAAACACAAACTTGATACCCTTAATCTAAATATACAGATATGGAGAAAGATAGTTAAAGGCAAGGTCGTAGGTTATTAGAAAACCTTTGGTCAGTGATTAACATAACAAAATAAATATCTGTCCACATAGAGATGGACAGAAATCATGACATTAAAATATCCCTATACAGCTTCACTTGTAAAGACAAAAGTAAGAAAGGTTAACTATTGAAAAAAAGTAACTTCAACTGAGAGAATAACTGAATTAGGCTTCTTAATTTGAACATTTAAAGATGCATGATATTTTGCTTCACAATTTGAAGCATTGCAAATTTGTGTACAGTTGTTTTAAATTGAGCTGAAGGTCACAAACCTAGTTTTTTGTACACAAACACATGCACATGAACATGATACTGAATTAGTAGAATATTTATGTAGGGTGACGTTTTCTCATCATATATGCATGTAGTATATAAAACCTATAAAGGAGAATATCAAAAAAAAAATCAGTAAAATGTTTTGACTGTTCAAAGTTTTAGTTACTTCTTAGGTAATAGAGTTTTAGACCTGAAATAAACTAGGTGATCCTCCATTTAATTATATTATTCTTTATGCTGTGTCTCAAGTCATTTTCTTGGAATCAAATTAAAACAACAGGCTCAGGTTTAGCTGATTTTTAACCATAATTTTATATGCTGAGAATATTGATTTTCAAATTTAGAGTGTCATGAAAAAGTTGATTTGATTACCATTGATCTCAGGAGAAGAATTAAGATACAGAAGTTCTTTATTGAAGTAAATTAATTAAAGTTTTGTGTTAAATCTCCAAAGTTGACATGTTAGTTTTGAAGATCATGCAATATTAGATGTAGTGAGCGGTGCAGCTGCTCAACTATTGATTCCTCATGTTTAATCATACACAAAGGAACAAACTGTTCTAATTCTAAGACACAAAATTCAATTATCTTAATCTAATTCTGCAAGAAAAATGTTTCCTTTCTTTCTTAGATTTATCATGAATTTCTGCAAATGTAATTTAAGTGTAGAAAAAATATTTAAAAGATGAAAAGTTAATTTTCAGGATTGTTCCAGACAAAAGTCTGTGGGGTCTATGAATGTACTTATTTCCCATCCCAACATTGACATATTTTCCATTGGGAATTTTCTGAATTGCATCACCATACATGTCCAGATAAACACATGGTGAAACAGTATCATATTGGTTTATATACAATGCATTTGTAGACCAATTTGTAGATCTAAGATTTTGAGAAACCCATAACATGTAAACTTTCCCTCAGAATAAGTTGCTATCCAAATAGGGTAAAAAGTCTAAATAAATAGTATGATGTTGACCTTACTTTACAAAGATTGAGGGGAAAATAATTATGTTTTCTGTTTTGAGATTATCCCCTTTCTGATATTACAAGAAGAAACACATGATGAGTCAGAGATTTGGCATATCTATGATCTTCAAGTATTTATTGATTCTAGGTCAGCTTTCAAACTTTTATGAAAGAAAATGAAATCTGATTCTACCTGGGACTTGTTTTCAAAAGAAATTATACAAACAGTTATTTCCGCTACTGAAGTATGAATTAATCTTTTAGTTCATCAGGAAATTTGCTTGTTATGTTGTTTTTGTGAAGAAATATTAAGTAAGTATCGATCCTTTTATTGTTTGCTTCCTGTGTAAAAACCAAATAAAGTGTAAAACCATACAAATTCTTCAGTTTTATCCTTCTATTGAACCTCTATACATTAAATATTGTATCAACAGTTTCACATTAATAATGGTTTGTTTAGATATAATGAATGCTGTGTCTGGCTTTCTCAGAGCATCCAGATTATCAACATTTCTGTTATCAGACAATAACTTTTGTGCCAGGAATAATATCTTTACCATACTTGATTGTAAAATGGCTCATGGGGTTCAGATGATTCCTTTTTATGTTGAGGTCAAGGTCACAGAAGCAAATTACAGACTTAAATTGGGGGAAAATATTAAATTCTTATTTTGTTCCATAATTTCCAACATCACAAAACTTAGCTTAAAAATGACCCTTGGAAAGAACAAGGCACCTATTGCTTTTTTTGTCCTTTCTCAAAGATCAAGGTCACTGTACCTTTAAACAGAATAACATGTTGGGCAAAAGTTTGTAAAGACGGCAAGTGATTGTAAAGGTCACTGATGTCAGAGGTCAAGGTCACGGTCACAACAGTAATTGATAGACTGAAATTTAGGCATACCATCCAATCATTACCAAAGTTATATTGGGAAGAGAACAAAATTGGATACATTTGATTTGCATACAAAAAACTGAAATCCATAGAGATTGGCATTGCAACTCAGTTTTTGCACCAATGCTGCTTCTGTCATATTTTTTTTCAACATAAAAAAGAAACCTTTATTTTTATATCTTTAACAATCTTCTGCTGTATAGAAATTCTATGTAAAAATTTCCAATTATACTAATTTTGTAGCGGATCAACAATATTGTATGAATGACACCGAATAGAAAGTATTCAATTATATAACCAGTCCTGGACTCCTGGGGCTTTAGACTTGTTGATGCTGTTTTTTAAGTTGACATGTTAATTTTGTGGAATTACTTTTGTGTTTGCAGACATTAGCTGTTACTGATGACACAGTTCTAGAGGAACACCATGAAGATCCATGTCTTATTCAGATGCGACTTCTCGATGACGGAGGTGAGTTCTTTTTCTCTTTCTTGATGACGGGCACATTTATAGACGAAGGTGGCATCATTGGCAGGTTGATCTTGATTCCATTAATAAACATATGTGGCATCAGGGGCAGGTTGCTTTTGATGACAAGTACATTTTTATATAGAGGTGGCATCAGTGGGATGTTGCTTTTGGTGGCAAGTACATTTATAGATAGAGGTGGTATCAATGTTGCTTTTGATGATGGTATGCATGGTATTGATTGGTTCATGATTGCAATCTTTCTTCTAATGTTTGACACAGTTACTGCAGCATAAGCAACTTGTTAAGCACTTCCCAACCTATGTTTTAAGATCTTTTAGATGTTGGTTAACTACCATGTGCAACTTAATAAATGAGTGCATCAGGTTTCATAATGACATGACATGTACATGTAACTGTTGTTATTATTATTATGAGTTATTTTTAAACATTAGTTAGATAATTAATTATTAGCATCATTGCCATTAAAACGACTTACAGTCAGTCATAGGTGACAATTGTTTTAACTCTAGATAATGTGCACAATTATGAATGAGATGTTTATTCCCAATTTAAACAATAAGTAGATGTGGTATGATTGCCAATGAGACCATTAGTATCAAAGACAAAGTACAAGGATGTGAACAACTATAGGTCAACAATGAGCAAAACCCATACTGTATAGTCAACTAAAAAACACTCTGGGATGACTAAATGTGAATCAATTCAAAAGATAAAACCTATGGCCTGATTAATGTTAAACACATTTAAAGGAAAAATAATTACTGCAGACAGCAACTAACAACACCTACTGGAAAAATCAGTTTAAAAGGGACTACACTCATCAGATCTGTACTAAGCACCAAAAAACCCAAACAAAATGACAAAAGGTCACAAGTTACCAACCTATGAGTGCTATCAACTACTGGAAGCTAGTTCAAAGCCCAAATAACCATGTTTTCCCAGACTTAGATATCAATCAGTGCATCTTCAGCTTATTTAGATAGAGGTCATAAGCAGCTTTGGAAAAGCATGACCTTGTGCAATACCAAATTATAAGTATTGATATGATGCAGGAAGACCATAAGTGTTAATAACTGAATAGCAATATATATTAAGTAATAAATTGCATTTTGGAAAAAAAGTCAATACGTTTAATCCTGCTGTATTTGTTTGCACCTGTCCTAAGTCAGGAACCTGATGTTCAGTGGTTGTCGTTTGTTGATGTGGTTCATAAGCGTTTCTCATTTCTCGTTTTTTATATAGATTAGACCGTTGGTTTTCCTGTTTGAATGGTTTTACACTAGTCATTTTTTGGGCCCTTAATAGCTTGCTGTTCTGTGTGGGCCAAGGCTCCGTGTTGGACCTATGATGGTTTACTTTTACAAATTGTGACTTGGATGGAGAGTTGTCTCATTGGCACTCATACCACATCTTCTTACATCTAATCAATGATAATACTGGTAAAGAAAATATTTAAGTTTTATTTCAATGATACATTTGTTTACCTTTAAGAATAAGTTTATTAAAAGGAATAGTAAGTTTTACATGGCTTATACCAAATTTGCAAGCTCTATATACTACATCACTGTTACAATTAGGATGTGATATCCTGTTATTTTAAGATCAAAGATTGAGTTTTTCTGTTCAGACTAAGGGATAACAATTCCATGTTGACAGTTCATAACCAGTGGTTGTAATGTACTAAGGTTGATTAACTGCAGATGTATTCTCATTTGGAGTGGGATGTCAGTGGAGATTGGCTGCAATTGTTTTTTAATTAAGAAATTAAGAAGTTCCCATGTAAAAACTGTCTCACTGCATTAAAACATTTTTACTCAACTCTATCTAGATCCTGAGTTTCAGTGAATCATTAGAATTTCATTATAGCATATTAACACAACCAATTTATTGTATAAGTGGGAGTGGATATATTTGATATGTTGCTTTTTTAATGCAGCATCAACAATTGAGAGATCAATTGATGTAGGTAGGAAATTCTAAAGGATATTGACGTCTACAAAGTACTTTTATTGATATTAGTTCTAAGTGTATTATAGGTATAACCTAATACAGTTACATAAAGTTATTGTAGAATTTGTCTGAGAAATCATGTCTTCTATAATGAGTTGACAGCTCATGTGATTAGGCTGCCTTTGTGGAAAATCTTTTATTCTGTCACACAATCCTCCACTTTAGTGCATCAAAACTTGCACAAGATTTTCTGATAAAAGATCATTTTTAAAATTACAAAAACCTAATTATACCAGTATTTCTTTGATGGTATAATATTAAAGGTAGACTATTTTCACTGACTTATAATAAGCTGCATGAATATTAATTATTTATCTAAAGAGAAATTAATAAAAGAGAAGTATCCTGGTGATAGACAAGGGAATGATCTCCATTATGATGTGTTTACCAGATAATGAGTTTAATTTATTCAGCTGCCAAGTTTTAAAACCTCTTCATGTACTATGTCAGACTGATTAATAGTATAATGTTGTCAGTGGTTGTACCATCATAGTCAAAACACCAATGTGTATTATGATTTACAAGTGACCTAATTTAAGGTTGTCAAGTCAATAAAACCAAAAGTAAGTTACTTTCAGGGACATCATTTTGACTGTATACTCTTCAGACTATGTATTTTCAACTCTTCATATGACCTTATATAACAATTATTTCATGGTAATACAAAAGGCCATTCAAATGTAGGATTTTTCAAAATAAAAAATAAGGGACCAAATAAAATATGTTATTGTATTTGTATGATGTGTTTCTTATGTTCTGATTAGCCAAGTTGCCATTTAAGAGCGTGCTTAACAGAGGGCATAACCTAATTTTTAGAGAATTTGCATTTCTTAAATATGTCCATTTGGTATACAAGGAAAGCAGGCGTACATCCAATAATTTTTTAGGGCCTATGGGTGATTCTAGCTTAATGTTTATTGATTTTAATATGATTTTTAAAAAATATAAAGAAATGGACAGGAGAGTTACAACCCCAAACCTCTCTCTGGATCCATCTGTATAAATAGGAGGGGGGAAATATCAAGGAAGAAATTAGGAACATTTATAGGGAAAGGTTAATTTCCATCAAGAATACATGTTTATATTAGCAACATGTTGTGAAACTTAAAATATTAAACATCATAAGCATCCAACAAAAAATGACAATAAATCAAGTTTTGAGTTGGAACTAAATATTACCTATTTGACAAAGCCATCTTCAGTACACATGTCTATCTCAGAGCTTGATTAATGATTATGTCTTATTATCATTCTCTTGGCTGAGTTTTAGTCTAATTGATTAACCTTGGAACATTTCAACCATACTTTATGGCTACCTAAGATATCTTCTGACAGTTCAATTGACTGATGAAATTTCACACTGTCACTCTTCCTGACATTTCAGATGTGCAGGTTTCATCTGTACTTCTTGAAGAAAATATGCTTCAAAATTTCGTAAATTGTTATGAATTAGGCCGTTACTTTTTCTCAATTGAATTGTTTCATATTAATCATGTCGGGGCCTTTTATAGCCGACTACAGGGTATGGGTTTTTCTCATCGTTGTGTCATTGGCAATCTACCAATTGCCTTATTTTTATATTCAAATACAAAAAAAAAATTATTTCGTTTTACAAACAGCCCAATAAACTTTGGCAGTGTCTTATGTTCTGTCAAGGGACTGATTCCACTAACCTTTCCAAGGTCCTATTCGGAAAAAAACAAAATAAGAACATTTTAAATATCTGTCATGAAGACTTTGAATTTCTTTGTTTCAGAAATCATAGAATATTAAACATCCCTTATGGGCCCCACCTGAAATATCTTTGAAAATAATAAAGTATTATTTGTATTCCTATGATTAACCATGGATGGACAGCTATGTTTCCCTGTCAGAGTTATACATAGAATACACATATAACAGTTAGTTCCACTGACAGAAATGACTTCATTTGACAACTGTATCCCTTCCTTTTGATACAACAAAGCTGTTTGAAGCCTTCATCAAAACATTAATGTGTGTGTACTTTATTTGAACTTTAATCTCCTTTACAATACATGAAAATAGAACTCATCAAGTATTATTATATTGTGTAATATTAACACCACTCTTATAAGCAAGTAGAAGGCATGCTGTGTATGTTGAGGTCAGAAAACGGAATGTTGAACAAAGCTTTGGTAATTATATGTAAACAATACCTGTTATCTTAGCTTAGCTTTGTAGATAGTCAAGCAATTTTGACTATTGATAAGTAAATCATTTTAGAGTTTGTTAGATTTCCTTTAACCTCTCACAGTTGGCTAAACCTAGTTTGAAGGTTACACAGTGAATAAACAAGTTATAAAGAAATTGTAATGCATTAATAATCACAAATTGACTATTAAAATTTTATCTTATGTTCCAATCTATAAAATCTCGAATTTCTATGATGAGAATTGGTCCATAGATTTGTGTATCAGTTGAATTTAATGATGCCTTTTGGAATTGTTTATCTCAGTTTGAGATATGAACTCTTAATGTTATAACACAGTGTCAAGAGTAGTTAGAGGGTGTAACACTCAATGCTGCTTCTTTATACATTTTCATTGCAGAGCTAAGACATTTACTCAACTGATATTTACATTTTTGAGCAAATTAATTCTCATAGACTGGTTTCAGGCTAATTGCAATGTCTATGAAATATCGGGATTTTTGTAAAGAGAAACTGAGTCAAATTTAGATTGATCTTTGTTAAATCAGATACAGTTCTGTTTTATAACTGTTAATAAATTAGAATATGGATTTATTTGTACCCTTTTGACAACTTTTTGCAAGTTAAATAGATTTGACACAGTATATGAATTTGGCAAACTATTGATATGCTGTAAGTGTTAATACATTTAAACTAATGCCCTCAAATTTTCTTTGTAAGAAGGATAAAGATTTGTTTTTTTTATTTAGAAAATAGATTTTTTTTATGTATTATCGTCATATTTAAATGCGTAAATAGA